GTTAACAGGATACAATCTTTTTATGTAAGACTCTCTCAGCTCTAGCATTGGGGACAATTATGGAAGCACAATTTATGACACATTCTGATAAAAACTGTAAGTATAGCCTGGCTGGTGTGTCTCAGTGGTTGAGCACTGACCCATGCACCAAGAGGTCGCCGGTTCAATACCCGGTCAGGGTACACACCCAGGTTGTGGGCCCGATCCCCTGTGGGCTGCATGCAAAAGGGGGCCAATCGATGTTTCTGTCTTTCTCTCCCTCTCCCTTCTTCTCTCTAAAATCAATAAAGGAAAAAAATTAAAAATGAAAGAATTAAGCACAGAGACATAAACCACGGTCCTGAAAGTGATGAAAAGAGGGCTCTGGGTTGGAGTGACACAGGTGTGTTATTACCCTTTTTTACCTGATGATCTAGCAAAAGATAAGAGACTAGCATTGTGATACAATTTCAGCTGACAGTAAGGGGTCATACAAAGGTAAAGGCCATAGGGCATAGGCAGTCATATGGCCAAATTAATACATCAGACATAAAACTAAAGATGCAAATGACTGAACAAACTAAGACATGTTAACATAGCTGTGACTCTGTGTCTCCCTCTAACTGTTCTGTCACCCTCTCCATACTTCTTCCCCACGTCATGTTACAGATAATAATTATTTTGGTGACCAGCATGTGGTTGATGTCAGTATCTGATCATGAAAACATACAAAAATGACCCTTCTAAAACAACGGAACATGAGTACACGGAATTTAGCCATTTGAAAAGAAATGCACATTAACAATGTACATAATCGTGCCAGGTAATTAGAATTTAACTGTTACTACCAAGTTTTTGAGGTTAAAATCTAAATATTTTTAAGAAAACATATTGCCTAAACTATTTTATAGTCAACTAGAGCCTGGGAGAAGGGCGGACATCAGGCTGAGCGGTTCTCTGAGCGAATGGGGGATTGATGGGGATGAGGGCAGAGCTGCGCTGAGCACCCGACCTCCCGCGGCTGTCAGCACGCCCACCACCCACGTGCCTCTTCTCGTGGCTGCCTCAGTGCTACGTCCAGGAAGCCACGTGTGGCTGCACAAACATCACAAGCCAAGTAGCCTAGTGTCCCAGCAAATCAGTGACTTTCAAATCTCCTCGTGGCCCTCACTCCTTTTACGTGTCCTTGGTCAGCGTTCCTGCCTCACACCCAGCAAGTGTGAACAGTCAGGATCTGCATCTCTCTCTCAGAAGGCTGCACCCTCAACCTCCACCCCACTCCAACAGGAGACAAACTGGCCTCCGCTTCAGGGAGAAAGGAGAAGCATGGCATGTGAACTGCCCTGGCTCCTCCCGCGCTCTCCTTACACCCTACACCACTCCCACCCAGTCTGCCACCCAACACCCAGGGAAAAGAGGCCTTTCCTCGGCGTCCAGGCAGCTGTCTCCCTTGAGTTGTCAGTGTCTGTCTGCTCCCTTCCCGTTCCCGTGTTTCAGCATGTCTATCCTCCTCTCTTCTAGATGGGAACCTCCACCCCTGTCGGCTCTTTCCCTTCCCAGTGCCCCTGTCCTGACTCCCCCCTCATCTCTGTGTATCTCCAGACTCTACCCCGACTCCTTGAAGTCGCATCTACACTTGCAACGCCCCTTTCCTACCTCTCACTCCTCCACTCTCCGTAGCACCTGCTCCCATGAACCCAACAGAACGTTCAGCGGGTCTAACTTAGTTCAAAACTCAGATCCTGTGTTTTTAAACAGAACTGTATGTGACTCCTGCCTCCTCCACATAGGAGCTGGGAGAGCTTCAGCATGCTGCTTAATCCCCTGTGCATCAGTTTCCTCCTCTCTAAACGAGGATAACAGTAGTTACTGACTTCACAGGATTCTCGTAATATTAAATGAAATAATAAAACACTGAACAGTGTCTGCACATACCACGTGCTCAACAAACATTAACCATGAATATTATTACTACTACCACTATTAGTAGTAATCATCTCAGTTATTACTATCATTATTGTCAGATACTATGCTAGGGCTAGCTCAAAATCCTGAGCTAAATAAAATATCCTCCTGCACTCATGCAGCCAAGAAAAACCACTTTGCAATCTCCTTATACAATGTGTCTTATCACTTGGCCTAGAATAACCTTCCCTACTTTAAACTAGGATCTCTCCTAGGAGTCTCCTCTCCAAACTGATTCTGTATGACTCTAGTCAGTTCAGCATACACACACACACACACACACACACACACACACACAGTGATTAGTAAATTTGTTTGCGTCATGTGAACCAATATGAACATATAAAGTTAGCTGAGTGCAGGAACCTTAACCTATGCTGCCTTTGCAGCAACGAAAGCATCACACCCATGTTCTGCATGCAGCTGAAAGTCAATAACTATGGATGGACCCCATGATCAGTCACAGCAAGAACAGAAAGAATATTTTTAGCATCATGTTTGAATCCTACCTGGCAACTTGGAAACTGCAATAATTTGAACCTATGCAGGCAATGAAAGGAGAGCTTTATTATTGGTTCACCAGAAACTATACCTAATGGTCATTTATATTCTGTGAGCAATCACTGAGAAGGTTAGCAGGAGCACTCATTCTCTTCCTTCTCTCCTCGCTATTCTCAGTTTCTTTTTGTCACAAGCTGTGTGTGCAATATCTATTTTAATTAGGAAGAGGCAATAACGGGCAAAGGTGATTGCAATAGGTATGTTCAGTATGGAACCAAATTGCACAGCAAGATCTCATCCCGGTGATAAAAACAGCTTCACGAAGGCATGTAATTTTGTCTAACAATTTATTTCTTGGAACAAGCTCCAGATGCCCCCACTCCCTGCCAGCACCACTAGTTAAGTCTTGCTTCAGCAGAAGCATTAGTGTGGAGTTCAACTGGGAGGCACCGTCCCTTGGGCCTGTGACTCTTTCACCACTGGGGTCTCATGTTGGGACCTAATTCCTGTAGGGTTCAACAGTGATTTACTTCCCACACAGAGAAAATGAGTTCTGGTTCTCTACTTTTAACATGTTTCTCTCCTTATCTATCAATACTTCAAAACAAATTTGGATCTTAAATGTCTGTTTTAAATTAGTTAACTAGGGGATGAAGAATTCACACATGGAAGGCGGGGGGACCATGGTAGGGATGATGATGATATTGATGACAGTAAAATAGTGAATGTTTATGAAACATGCATTTGTACTAGGCCCTATGCCAAATACTTAGGTTATTTGCTTTAGTACTCACAACCATAAGAGGTTGGCATGATTACCCCATTTTCCATTTGAGAAAACTTGCCTAACATCATACAACTAACAAGATTCAAGGCTGGGATTTCAAGGTTTTCTGTGACCTGTTTTTGAACACAGTTTGTACAATATTAGGTTTAAGTTTGATTTTATTATGAATGGCCTGCCACGGTAAATCTATGTATTTCCATACTAGAAAATTAAGTTCCCCATTTAAAAAATGGGAAAGAACATGATTAGCCAAATAAATATTTTTAAAAAGCAAATATTTAATTTCAGATGTTTAAAACTAAAGAGAATTCAATTCAGTTTAAGAAACAGTAACTAGTTAGTATAATGTACAGGGAACTGTAAAAATTGAAAGATTAAGATAGCATTGCCCCCCCCCCCTCTTCAGGAAACTAATAATACAGGGGGAGGAACACAGTGTGATATTTCAGGTCTTCCTTCAAATGTCACCTCCTACAAGAGGTCTTCCCTTACGATCCTACCTAACTTGGCACTCTGATCCTGGTTACTTTCTATCCCAGGGGTCAGCAAACTTTCTTTGAAGGGCCTGATATAAAATAACATAGGCTTTGTGAGCACATGGTCTCTGCCAACACCACCCAACTCTGCTCTTGTAGCTGCAAAGCAGCTACAGACTGTAAGTAACTGAATGAGCATGGTTGTGTTCTACTAAAACTTCATTTACAAAATAGGCAGTGGGCCAGATGTCGTTCATAGGCTTCAGTTTGCCGACCCATATCTCACATATCACCCTCTTTTCTTTCCTTTATAGCACTTAACAAAATCTTAAATTGTTGAGCTTATTGATTTATTTACTATTTCCTTCACAAAAAGTGTTAGCTCTAAGACAGGGGGTCCTTGTTGTTTGTTCAGAGCTTGCTCTCCAGGGCCTGGAAAGAAGTTCCTGACGCATCACAGGCAGTCCACTCTAAATATTTGCTGATGGACTAAATGAATGAATATCATCTCACAAAAGGAGAAGCACAGACTGCCAACAAGCACATGAACTATATTTGGCCTCATTAATAATAAACATTTTAAAAGTTACCATGTCACTTGTCAGACCTACATTGGTTAGAAGAAGAGGAGAAGCAGAGGCGAGAGGGAGAAGGAGACGTGACAGAGGGAGGGGAACTAGGAGTAGAAGAACACGTGCGGACGAGCACGTGGAGAAATGGCCCTCTCATCTGCCCCTGATGGAAAAGAAAACTGACGCAACATTTCTAGAGAGCCAGTTGTAATTATACACCAAAATGTATATGCCAATTCAAAAATAGGCAGAGGACTGAACAAACATTTCTCCAAAGAAGATACACAAATGGCAAATAAGCATAAGAAAAGATGCTCAACTTTTCACATAAAAATGTCTCCATAACATTATTATTGAATGAAAAAAAAGCAAGTTACAGATGCAGGTACAGTATGATCCTATTGATGCAAAAATTCTCAAGTTTCTATATACCTGGGAAACATTTGAGACATTCTCCAAAATGCTATTCTCTGAATGGTAGATTTAAAATGACTTTAACATTATTCTCTTCATAATTTTCTGTGCTAGTTGTTTTTTAAACAAAGAATTTTTAAAACAAAATAACACGCTCTTATAAACTCACGTGTATCACTCTTTTACATTAATTAAGAAGGGTTAGGCCCCTGATGCTTTCGTAATAGATGTTGTCTGTATTTCCATTTCCATAGCAACAATAATACTTATGAGTGAGTCAAGAATAGTTCTAAAAGAGATACATACCGCAGTTAGTAGTGGTGTCTCTTTATCAGTTACAAACAGACTTATTATTTCAGAGCAACATTCCATAATCATGTTCTAAAAATAAGAAAACAATATGGTAAGGTTGAACTTATTGGTCAATATTAGATATTTTAATTACAAACAATTTCATTTGTATTTTCTTACCTTATCAACTAACTTCAATTCTCAGGTTGAGACTTAGAGGGCTATTTGAAAACTACAGGATGGCCATAAAATATAAGATTTAATTAAAAATAATATAGTTTTAGAATTCTTTCCCTGCACATTCACTGTTAAAATTCATGTAATAGAAGAATAACAAGTAAAGTAATTCTCATCAAAATAAGAGTGTGAAAAATCACTTTTCTTCTCAGAAGAGTCCGAGGACAGGTTCAGGCAGAGAACGACTGGCAGTTGGGAAAGAAACGGAAAGAGTCACTGAACCGGAAGCAAGGTCAACATTGTATGTTGTCTACTGCTGACGGCACTGCCACAAACCCTACCGTGTGGACAGAGGGATCTACCCACAGCAGGGCTGAGTCCGTCAGACCCTCTGTCACTGTAATTCCACACGGGGAAGGACAACAGGAGAGAGCTGCCGTCAGCTCTCAGCTGGCCGTGTGAGCCGAGAGTCCCGGTGCGGAGGTGGAGAAGGCAGCCTTGGGGCCAGATGTAAGGTGAGTAAGAGGAAGAAACAGAGATGAGTGGGAACTGACACCCGCCGTGGAACTGAGCAGAGCCGTGGCTCCGGACACTCCAGTCCCCTTTCCGAGGTCCACTGCGTACTGTTTCCAGTCCTTGGCTGTGCGTGAGCTCACTTACTGGCCCCTGCCGAATCCTGCCTCCCCCCAGACCTGTTTTACTCAAGCTGGTGTAACTAAATTTTCTTTACTTACAATTAAAAGAGTCATAACTATAACATTATCAGAAAGGAACTATGACTGCTGCACAGTGTTACCAGTATCCATTCCTGAAGGCAGCAACAGTGTGCTTTTATGGTAGTATTAATATACACATGTAGTAGCAGTCAGAAATATTAAAATGATAAAAGTGCATTAATTCTTACATTATAGCTGACAACTGCTGATTAAAACCTGAAAATAAAAAAGCAAGAAATTGTGCTCACAGCCCCAAACTATGCTATGTCTGAGTTTAAATAAATGCATCAACATAGCCCTGGCCGGTTTGGCTCAGCGGTTAGAGTGTTGGCTTGCCGTCCAGAGATACCCAGGTTCGGTTCTCACTAAGGGCATGTACCTCGGTTGCAGTTTGTCCCCGGCCCTGGTTGGGTTGTGCGGTTGGCAGACACTAGATGTGTTCCTTTCACATCGATGTTTCTCTCTCCCTCTTCCTCTCTCTCCCTCCCTCCTGCTCTATCTGAACAAAAAATAGAAAAAATGTCCTCGAGGACAAAAAATGCATCAACATAGAAAAGATAAAATTTTAGAGTTCGAAAGCCAAAGCTAATGTAGCTCAATTTAGTACACATATTCAAGGCATTATATTAGGCGCTGTGGAACCTAAAGATGAAGAAACAGGCCCTATCCTCCCGAAGTCTGCAACAACAGAAAAACAGATGCACACGCAGCTAAATAAATACCACATCGAATGTGGCCAGAACATGTGCCGTTATGACATGTTATGAGCCTGGAGGTGGGAGAGAGTGAACATAAACATGACGAACAGGGAAGACTTCATGGAGAAAGGGTCATGTGAATAGAGAGTTGACAGAGGAGCAGGATTTCAAATGACAGAGAATGGGGACAAGGGCCTTCTGGGTGGAGGAAGCCAGCTAAGCAACAAAGCAGTGGTCAGGCGAGGCACATAGGGATCCGGTGTGGTTTTCGCCGCAGGCTGGCGCAGGAAGCATGGCGGCGAACGTGGTGAGAAATGAGGCTGGAGAGGAAAACTCACACCAGGACAGGTAAAACCTCGGAATGTGCTTTTACTGAGTAGGAAATGGAGGGGCAGTAGACTGAGGGAATAATGATCAGATTGCTTAAAAAAGATCATTCTGGCCACAGTTTAAAGGTGAATTGGACTGTTCTGATCAAGAAGTGAGACTTACTGTGAACTTAAAGGTGAACTTAAATGTTCTCACACATACACCCCCCCAAAAGTGGTGAATTGGACTGAAAGAGGCAAGAGAAAGATAAATAAGCAAGGAGTCTACTCAAATCGCTTAGGCAGGGAGCGATCGCGGCTAAAGGTAGGCCAGCTTCGGGGGGACCAGAGAGGATGGCGGGCAGGCAGGACCCCCAGCACGGGTCAGGGTATACCAGTTTCCTCTGATGACCCTTCCAGGCTTCCGGTTCATTTACGACACAGAGAACACATACCCACCCCTATATTCCTCTCATTATCTATCTTTCTATATTTCTAATCGAGTTCTCAGGACTGGTTAAAGTGTATTTTCTTTCCATATAAAAGGTTTCAGTAACAGCCATGATGGTTACTGTCATGATTCTATCAAGACCTATCAAGCAAAGTGACACTGTCTGTATCAGTAATCACGCCACATAACAGATAGACAGCAACGTTACCTCATAAATGTCTTTCACTGCCCATTTCCACCTTTATCAAACAGAAATGTCCCCTCAACAACATTCTGTTCCTTTGGCATTATCTGAGGTAAACCATGCACTCCGGCTGATCCGATGGGCTGTGCGGGACCTCGGGGACCCCGCCAGCTCAGAGGGGACGCGGAGAAGCACTGAGCCCGTCTGAGAACTGCTGGGGGAGGTTGGGGTGGGCGAGGAGCCTGGGAGCACAGAGTGACCCTGCTCACGCTGCCATTTCTCCTCTGACAAGGAGCCTCCTGATTCCACGAGGGATGGACTTCTGAGTTACTCCAAAAACAGTAAAGCCAGTTCTTCGACCTAGTTGAAATCCTCATCATCTTTCACCTACAGTCTGGAAGCGCTTCCTAGGTTGTTCTCCATCCTCCAAACTCTTGCTTCCCTCGTCCCTCCTTCATGTACCACCAGGGTATCTTAGTCAATGTAGTGTGGACCATGAGGTGCCCTTCCAGGTGCTGCCCCACCTTCTCCCACCCAGCACACACCGTCCTGCCTTTTTCACAACCCTTCCCTGTGGAACAACGTTTGTTCACCGCTAATTGGTTCCACCTCTACTGAATGCACACTGCGTGCCGTGCAGTGGTAACAGGAGGTTAACAAGACAGAGGAGCCCTTATAAGGTCACAGTCAGGTGGGAGGGACAGGAGGGACCGACTTCCAGCACTGTGTGAGATCAGGGAGCAGGAAACACACAGTTCCACCCATCTCTTCAGCATCACCTCCCACACATTAACCCTGTACTGTTGCCACAACAGATGGCTCACTGTCCCCTGAATATGACAGTCAGTCCCACGACGTCACATCTCATCTCTGGCTGCAACCTCAGACAGGAAGGCGTGCGCTCCACAAGTCCTCAACCAGAAGTTTTGCCGGGGAGTATTGAAAAGATACTGCGTTTCACTTACTGGGCAAGATATTGGAGATAAAATGATAAATAGGACTCCTGAGCAAAGGTATACATATTCAGGAGAGAGGAAGAGACACATACACAGATAATTGCTGAAACGATATGATAAGGGCACAAGGTATTTTGGGGCTCAAGGGAAAATGACCTTTGAACAGTTTCTAGGAGCCATAAAATGCTGTCTGAGCTATCTAAGCAAATACAAAATCTCGCTCAACTTTCTCTCTCTCCCTCTCTCTCTCTCTCTCTCCCTCCCTCCCTCCGTCCCTCCCTTCATCTCTCTCTCTTTCTCTACACACACACACACACACACACACACACACACACACACACGGATATGAACAATAATGAATTAGAATCATTGGCATCAACAGCCCCACCATTGAGAGGAGGGTTCTACAACCTTACCCTTTTGTATGGTGTAGAACACAGATAATGGGGGAAATAAGAAAACTGGAAGAAGTCAGAGAGATGAAGAAAGTTAAACTATACAATAAAAGCTGAGCCAGAGCAGGAAGGAGAGAGTCAATGAAACAGCCCATGCAGGCTGAGTTGGAGAGGAAATCTTAGGAGTTTGAGCCAAATGAGACAGATGTTGAAGGCCGGCTGTGGATGTGAGAGAGATATTAAGAGCAAGATGGTTGGGGGAAATAAGACTTTAAAGAAATTTTGCTGTGTACTCCGAAAAGATTCTCTCTTGGATGTTCTTACAAGAGACTCCATAGAGATTTCCATTGTTTTCAATGGTTTTGCACATCAGATTGATGTTTTTTTAAATGCCACACTTTGCTTGCTAAGAGAGGGCCACCAGGCAGCTGGCTCATTATGAATGACATCTGGGTAACTAGTCATACTCATACAGGGACCTAACTGTACTGATTTCTGTGTGTCCTTATCTCCCCAAGCCTGGGACATTTTTGCAAATAATTGTTTCTCAAAAATATTTTGTGAATTGATTCGAATGTCCAATTTTATTTTGTTCTACATTTTCATAGTACTTTGATATTTGGGATAACTTGACAATATACTACTTTTAATTACTAATTTTATTATTATTTTTTTAATCCTCACTTGAGGATAGTTTTCCATTTATGTTTACATAGATTGGGAGGGAGGAAGAGAGAGAGAGAGAGAAATACTGATGTGAGACAGACACATCGATTGGTTGCCTCCCCCATGACCCCAACCAGGGCCAGGGATTGAACCGCCTTTGGAATTAAACCTGAGACTCCTTGGTCCACAGGCTGATGCTTTAACTGCTGAGCCAGGCCAGCTAGGGCTTAATTACTAATTTTAATTGCCTTGTACAATCCAAACATTCTGTACATGTTTGCTGAACTAACCTTGTGTGACTTGGTAAACATACTTGAAGCTTTTCATATCAGTATGCTATCATTCCAAAAAGGTTTTGTTTTTGTTTTTGTCTTAAAATCAGGATGGTTTGTATCTTTCATATGCTTTAAAGTACTTGATGTACTCTGAAGATACCCCTACAGCTGTGAATGACAGGTGTAAATAACTCGGTCATTCTGAGCTGGGGTTGTTTATTTTTGAAGAAGGACATACAAGGTCTTAAAGCCAGGAGTGATTGAAACACCTGTTCTATAGCCCTCCCAATACATCTTAAATTTCTATCTGTTTTCTGAAGTTCTTGGCTTATTCCAGACAACAGGGATTTGTGAGGGAAAGAAAAAAAGAGAAGGGAATGAGAACGAGAACAAGATTTACCGTTCCCCATATCAATCAAAAGCACATTTTTCTAGACCCTCATATTTAATAACCCACCAAAAGTCTATATTGTGATAGATATAAATATATTAGATTATAGAGGTTATAAAATCATGTACAATTCTCCACCAGAACTGATCTCTTTAAGTGTCCTAGTTAACTTTTAATTAGCGCCCAGTGAAGGTTGTCATGACAACGAACTGGCAGATTTAGTCAATGGGATTTATCTGATATTACCCAGAATCTAGCTGCTTTTTTCTTTTTCTCTTAAATGCTGATTAGTGTACTGGAAAAAAAGAAAACTTTGTATGTTCCTTTCATTTCTAAACTTTCAAATGTTATGACATAGTTTGCCAGTTCACCTAAACATATACTAGTTTTCCTTCCATTTGATGGCATTCTGTCTTATAAAGAACTAGCAGAACTGAAACACATCTAAAAATGACCTACTTAAAGCTGAAGAAGCACTTTCTAAGTTGGAGAAGAGAACAAATTCAAAAATACAGAGGACAATATCGAACTGAAAGGAGTTTGTTCTACTCAAGGACTGACCCACTCACATATATATTCGAGTCAGGACAGGAAAGCCAGCCACAAACCTTGGTTAAGGCAAGACAGGTCCTCAGGATTCCTCCCTCTGCCTATATTCAAGTGACCCCCACCCCATTGATTTCTAACTTGTTTATATGCATAGTCAACCTCCTGGCTCAGACACTGGGCTCACTGTGATCAATCTGATACCTACATCTGACCCCCAGGGAAATTCTGACAATGCTCATTCCAGCCAAGGGGCTCATTTCTTCATATCAGAGCAGTATTTAAGTGAAACAATCATTATTTTTTCATTCATTGATTTTAGAGAGAGAGCAAGGGAGGAGAGAGAGACAGAAACATTCATGAGAGAGAACATCAACTGGCCTCCTCCTGCATGCCCCCCAATGGAGATTTGGCCCACAACCTGGGCATGTGCTCTGACCAGGAACCGAACCCACGACCTGCATGGGTCAATGCTCAACCTGTGAGCCACACTGGCCGGGAAAAAGGATCATTTTTAGAAATGAGGGGAAAATTAGTCACAGGAAAGGTCTTTAGTCCCAAAAAGCTGAGGGGCAGAGCACGACCTAGAACCCTTACGCTTATGGATGCTCACTTTCCTGTCTTAGACCATCTACACTGAAAAGACAAATGAGTGCAGGAGAAAATGATCATTTCCATATATAACCTATATAGTAATCGATTCAAGGCTTTTCAGCAAAGAATATTCTAGACCATGGCTCAAAGACAGCAATCTGACAAATTTGGTCTATGACTGAAAAACTGTGATTGTAAGTGATCTACAAAAGAAGTGCAAAAATGAAATGAGAACCGAGCTCTTCTTGAAAACAGACATGAAAGGGCAACCATGCAATTTAGGAAAAGAATTATATAAATGAAACCTCATGAGTTTGAGATAGCTGATCTATTGGGAGATTTGTTATCTGCGCTCAGTACACCATTAATACCATTAAACACCTGGTAATTCATGTTGTAACATTTGAGGACACTGGAAAGGACGTGTAACTAAAATTCTAAGACATCAGTTCTATGATAAATGTGAGCACAGAGCACAGGAGACGTAAATACTGGCAAGCTGCATTTTGCAAAGGCTAACTGTGCTTGCCTGATGAATCCTCTTACAGCTGGGCTTGTTGCTTTCACAATAATGAAAAATGCACTCACTGTACTGGTAAATTCAGACTGAAAAAAAGCCAACAAGCATATTCTGAAAATCAGGAGAGTTGCCAATGTTTACACTTTCGCATAATAAGTACCTAGATGAGGTAAACAAGAAAACAAAAACAGCTGCACAAATCATATTCTTTAAGAATTAAAAATGTTTTGTAACCAGCTGAATATTAACCTAGCAGAAAATGATTTAAGAAAAAAGATACAGCAGACTAAAAATTAGGGAAGATCCTAAAAGGTTTCAGAGAAAAAAACAGAGATGGGACCCAAGGGGCTGGTATTCCGTCAGTCCAGGTAGGGTAGGAGACTGTTTCCTTTCATTGTAAACATTGTATGGCCACTCAATTAAAAAAATAAATGACCACAGTAACTATAGAATATATATCTCAAGAAATTGGATTAATGTACAAATGGAAATTCACAGAGCAAGTAATTAGGAAAGAACAATTATTCCCTGCTCTTCCATTTCCACAGGTAGTAAAGAATCTCCACCCCACTCCTGAAGAAGGAAGGACACATCCAGCTGCTTTTGGACCCGTCCCCCACTCACTGCCAGGAGCGTGGGTGACTTATCTGACTGGTGAGCTTGGGGAAAGCAAGAGAGCGTGCTGGGCTCAGCCCCTCTGGGTACTCTGTGCTGATCTTTTTGGAGGCCCCTGCCTGCAGGGTATTATTCCCTGCTCCTTGGTGCAGTAAGCCTGGCAGGGGCAGAAGGGCCGTGGGGCTGGCTTAGCATCCAGGTGCGCTAGATGACTAAGTGACTAGGTGGGTAAGTCAGGCTAATTCAGTGGTAAAATTTCAAGAAGTGCGTTTGCCACAGATCAAAAGCCTCGTTTGCTAATAAGCTGTGTTAGTAATGGTACTGATATTCTGATCTCCATATGTCCGTTTCCTGTAACCCATTTCTCTAGGTTGGCTTTGTTTCCATTCACCAGAAGATCCCTACCAGTGGTATGTCAAGAAGAGCTCTGAAGGAGGTATTACCTATGTGTCCAGAGGTTGGATCACATCTGGGACTGTACGTAGAGGAAAAAGGGGGCAGAGCCCCCACGAAGTTCAAGGAGAGTTACATAGTTCTGCTCTAAGGAAGTAAAAAATAATCTAAGGAATTACATATAATGACGTCCTTTCTGCAGCAGCAATGTAATTTTCCATTATTTAATGACTTACTTCCATTTCTGTATCAATTGATTTCTCTTCCATTTCACTGATTTCAGATACGCTGTCATCTGAAGTAACTTCAGGAACTGCTGGCAATGATATTTCAGCTATTTGCGTAAGATTAGATAGTTTCTCATGAATTGCAATAACTCTAAAAATAACAAACATATATTTTATTTGAAAAGTCAAGAAAGGCATTCATTTATTCCCAGAATCAATAATATGTGTCATATAAGTCCTTAAGTTATTTAACACTAAGTTTCTGGCATCCCTAAACATAATTCATTCAATAATTCCTTTATTTAAGAAACATGAGAAAAGAGAAACAATTCTAACCTGCATAATGTGTATGATCTAGTTATACACTCAGAGGGATATATAATTACAAACTGGTAAAGGCACAGGGGAAAATATATATATATATATATATAGATAGATAGATATATAGATATATAGATATATAGATATATATATAGATATATAGATATATATATATCTCCAAAATACTGCTTAAGATAAAAATAAAGAAAATAAATATCTACACGGGCAAAGGAACTCCAGGCAATGACAAAAGATTCACTCCTGTCTACACCTGGATGCCATGCTATGATTGTTTGGCTGACCTGAAGGTAAGAATTATGACAAGTTAGCAATGGCTCCAAAAAAAACAAAAAGCAATCAATGAGCCCACAACACTGAAGTGTGTTGTGTGGGGAGGGAGTGGAGGGAGAAATATCAAGACAGAAGGCAAAGCAAAAGCTGAGGAGGAGGCAGAGGATAGTGGCAATCACGCTGCAGACAGAAAGTTTCCGGAGCCACAGGCCAGCGAGCGTGGATGCCCTGAAGGCAGGGTGAATGGGTGGACAGAGTCGGAAGATGGGGAAACCCTGAAACAGCTGAAGAAGGCCCACAGCCACCTGCACGGCCCTCAGCGATTCCACGATACAGGCAGTGTGCATGTGCGTGCTTGCACATGTGCGTGGGGAGGGGGTCAGGCATCTTCGTCCAGGGAAGGAGGGAAATTTTTATGGAAAAGAACTAAATGGTCCAAAACAGCAATATGGCATCAGGAAACAATTCAGGAATTTCAATTCTTCAATTTTCCAGTGTCCTCTCATTTTGCCTTCTAAGGGATGATCAACAAGAGCAATTCTCCAGAAACTGATCTTATCTTGCCCCTCATGAGAACACAGGTAATGCCACCCTGGGTGGGAGAAGCAGCCTGTGTTCACCGTGCCCCAAGGCAAGATCAGAGGAAAGGTCAGGCACCCTCCTCTGTGACGGCCTCAGTGACAGGGCATGTCCCTAACTTTAGTAACCCCGCCACTGATCATGAACACACCAACATTAAGAACATTTTGGAGTAAAAAAATAATCCTATCATGTGATTACCTTCTACTCTGCGGAAATTACAATCATTTTAATCATGTGGTTCTGAAAAAAATCTTGCCATGTTTCTGGATGTGAAAGGCAAGTGCATAGGTTCCAGTGCGGTTACCTAGCTCTGCTGGTATGTGACCTGCATCTAGGCTGAACCAGAAAGAACATCGTTTCATTCTCTGTTGTGATGAGGCCAAAGAGTCCTTCGAAATAAAAATCATGGAGCATGAACAAGGTTCTCCAGAGAAGCACCAAGTCTGTGTTCCCAAAGCACCTACTAGGTGCCTTGCGGGGCAAGGAGCCACCACTGACTGAGTAATGAGACTTGATCTTACAAAGTATGTGCATGAACTGTCTGGCTGGATCCTAGCAATAACCCTGAAAGGTAGGCACAGGAGGTATTATTTCCATCATACAAGTGAGGAGATGGAGGCTGGGGTCAAAAGGGCAATGAACAATGGAATCAAAACTAAACTAACTGAGCAATGAAAAGAAGAAAGAACAAACAAGGAGCTTGGTAATATGAAATAGGAAGAGAGAAACCAGGCATAAGCAAAAGTTGGGGATGCCCTGGCCAGTTTGGCTCAGCGGTTAGAGCATTGGCCCGCGGACCAGAGAGTCCTGGGTTCAGTTCCTGCCAAGGGCACGTACCTCAGTTGCAGTTTGTCCCCAGCCCTGGTTGGGGTCCTGTGGGTATCAACCAGTCGATGTGTCTCTCTCACATCGATGTTTCTCTCTCTCTTCCTCCTTCTCTCCCTCCCACTCTACCTGAAGATAAATGCAAAATGTCCTTGGGTGAGGATAAAAAAAAAAAGTTGGGGATATGCCCTGTTTGATGGAGAGGGAGGAAAGCATCTAGGTGAAGCAGACGTTTCACTTGGGAACAATATAAAATAAATTAGGTAAAGAGGAAGGGGTAAAACAAGTGATGTGGTGGGGTCTGGGCTGAACTTTGAAACCCAAGGCAGAGCTGCATTAAGTTACTTTCTAAACACTCTGTTAGGCAAAATGTAGTCCAGACAATATCCTGTACTCTCTATAAACTTCATATAGGAACTGTTCCTCCAGCAACCCTAGGTACTGTTGTTATTATTCCCATCTTACTGAAGAGGAGACTGAGGCACGGTCAGGTTAAGTTACCTGCTCAAGGCTGCAAAGGTACTAAGGGGCACGCCTGGCATTTGAACCAGAGCAGGCTGCATTCAGAATTTGTGCGTTTCACCACCTCCACGCCGTACTCCTCTGAAAGGAAGGTTTTTGTGTTCTAACGATGTCTTCTAAAAGTCCTCCTGTGGTTTACCTTGCGCATTCCTGGACGGCCTGTTCTTAGACAATACGGACAGTGAAAGCTCAGTGCGGACGGCCCAGCCTCACTTGCCTGTGCAGCGGAACCCAGAAAGAGCCAACGCACGTGTTGGTGTAAGTGCCGCGGTTCACACTGGAAATCTTCAGGGGCTTTAGGTTATACGCATAAAACAGCAAAACCTATAAGAAAATTAAAAGGCATATAAAACGTGACATCAGAATTACACTTTGCCTTAAGAAATGCGGCATCACTTCTCAAAAGAATATCACTGAGCTTTTAAAAGTTTTTCTTTGAAAGAGAAAAACGAGGGCTTTTGTCCCCCATTCACTTTAAGAAGAGGTGATAGGAATAGAATTGTGCAAAGGTGAGGAGATGGAAAGAAATGCTATTTGGTCCCAATATTATATTATTTTTGAAGAGTGGCATTTCTTACTGTAGGTAAGTATAGATTTCAGCCTTTGAAAGTTCTCTACAGCAAGTTCTGAATATACACCTGGTGAATGTCTAACTTTGTTTATTTTTACTTCTCAAATTGCCCTATCCCCATAGTAGTCAGAGCTGCTTCTCCGAATTCAAGCACGCTGTTCCCGTCCCCTTCCCTCCCTTTACCCAACACACACACAGCTTCCCGGTCCCCGCCTGTAAGATGAGACTTCTAATGACTCGGGCTCCAGCAGTCCCCTGCTGTCTGAATTCTGACAACTCTTAGACGCACTGCTACACCATACGCCACCTGTTCAGTCAGGGACTCACAGAACCTCAGCGATGATCTGCTCTGTGCCCCTCATGTTAGATAGAAGAAAGCTGAGCCCTGGAGCTACCAGACAAAATTAACTAATTAAGTGCATGCTTTTATTTCTGCTTCCTCGCAAATCAAACTAAAATAAGAGTGGAGGGATTTTTTTAAAAAGGCCTAAATCCGCAAAGGCAGAAAGAACAGGGAGAGGTGAGGCAGACCGGATGTGAACAGCACTGATGGACAGGAAGCCCCTGAAGAGCGCGGCTGACTCAGCAGAGAGGAGAGGCTGTGTCCTAACTGCTTTCCTAAGGACAAGCGTGGGGACTGGAGGGCCTGGGGTCTTAGACAGCCTCCTTCCCGTCCCTTCTCTGAGTCTGCGCAACCAGGAGAATCCCCCTTCCCTGTCTCCTCTCTGCGGGCTGAACTCTGCATTTTCCTCTGTGCTGAGGGTAGATCAGAAGAGATCTATGCTCAGGAACATCAGATGGGGGGTGAAGTGCTGAACTGGCAACACTGGAATTAAGTGAAAGCCTGCGTTCTGAACAAGAGACATCCCTTTACTCCATCCCAGCCCCTCCCCAGCATGCAGGAAACCAGACGGGAGTCTAAAAGAGCCCTCTTATGGGAAACGGACCACAGAGAAAAGGCCTACAGACACTGACATCCCAGCGTCCTCCAGTGAAACCGATGGCTGCTGCGGTGACCATCCAAAGCCTGACCCAACGTGCTTCTGGTGCCCCCACACACAAACGAATGGGTAGCCGCTGTCACTGGACATGAAACGAAAGACAGCAACCAAAACAAATATGAGAAAGGAACTCGGAGAATCAGTTACAAGACAGACAGCAGGAGAAACTTCAACAAAACCGTAACCGACATCTGCGGAAAGAAGAAAGACAGCACTGCGCCCGTGAAATAAGAACACGGTGCTACTACCATGAACAATCAAAAGATGAGAGCGAGCCCTTAGATATCAAAAAATAAAATCATAACAACTAAATAATCAGTAAGGAATTTGAAGAATAGAAAGTAAACCCATATTTAAAAACATAAATAGGGGGAGAATGAGAAAAATAAATAATCTAATAGGTTCAATAGCTGAACAGAAATTCCAGCAGGCACAGAGATAATCAGGTGGAGAAAATTATCAAAGAAAAAAATGTCCATTAACTGAAGAATATACTTTCAAGACTGAAAGGGGCACCCAAAGTGTCTAGAACAATGGACGAAAGACCCACAGCACGGCCCGTCGTGGAATTTCTGAACACACATGACAGGGAAGACCCCCAGCTTCCCGAGGAAAAAAGTCAGCGAATGAGGACTCGGAATGGGAGCAGACTCCCCAACGGCAGCGCAGGATTGCCCGACACAGCGGAGCAGTGCCTCTCGCATTCTGAGGGGAGATCATTTTCAACCTATAATCTTATGCCTAAAAATAACAAGGAAGCAAGCATTAAAATTATGACTTTTGTCAGCCATTTCAAGTCTTTTTATCTCCTGGGCCAATCTCGGTCTGGTGCAACCCTGTTCGCATCTCTGGGGCCTGTGGTCATGATACTGGCCAGTGGCTAAGCCTGAATGAAATGTGCTAACTAGTAGTTAATCTAGTCCTGTCCTAGGGTCTGAAACACTCTGTGGGTCATCGGCCTGGCCATTCGGTCAGCATTTTGTGCTTAGTTAGTAAGTACTTGAGTGGTATGTGTGTTATAAAGAAGTCGACATCAGAAGACAGGTCCCTGTTTCTATTTATGTCACTAATGAGTTGTGGCATTGCTCAAGCCCACGTGGGACTTTGCTTCCTGATCTGTAAAATCAGAGCACTGAACTAAGTAATGTTCTCTTGGTTTCAGATCTGAAATTTGACTTGAGTAGTACCAAGAGAAGTCGGACAAGGTTTCCAGTGTAGCCTACTATGCAAGCATCTTCCTGGGAACTCTGAATGCTAAAAACAGCGAGATAAGGTAGAATAAAGCTAAAAATCCTAAAGTGTAATCTTGAGACAAATTTGGCCAATCAAACCTTTGGTCGTAGTTACATCTTTTTAAGGCCAAGCTCTAGCTGTACATCTCTCTGACATATATCAGCCATTCTTTTAGTTGTTTGTTTGCTTTTTAAAGCCTGTGTCTGAGCCCTGGCTACTTTGGCTCAGCAGTTAGAGCATCAGCCCATGGACCAAAGGGTCACAGGTTCGATTCCAGATCAAGGACACATACCTGAGTTACAGGTTCAATCCCTGACCCTGGACAGAGTTGTGCAGGAGGCAACCAATCAATGTGACTCTCTCACCTCTCTCTCTCTCTCCCTCTCTCTCGCCCTCCCTCTCTCTCGCCCTCCCTCTCTCTCTCTCTCTCTCGCCCTCCCTCTCTCCCTCTCTCTCTCCCTCTCTCTCTCTCTCGCCCTCCCTCTCTCCCTTCCACTCCATCTAAAAAGCCAATGCAAAAATATCCTCAGGTGAAGACTAACAACAACAAAAAAAAAACCTGTGCCTGGGAGGTTCATGAAGACAATAGTCCCTGGCAGCTTTTTTAGTGTCTGTCTCCAAAAAATGCTAAAATTGTTCAAAAGATGCTTAGTTTGTAACAAAGTTCTAGTGAAGAGCTTACAATGTGCTTCTATTATATTCAATTAAATATAATTTTGTCAAATAGGATCATATAATTTCTACCTCCATACTTAAGAAGTTAAACTTTTCCAAGTTATAAACTTAAGTGTCATGGTATGGAATTTTTAGCCCTCTGAATTATCTAAAAATTCCATATCCAAATCCCCAGTCCCGGGATTTCTACTTTGCTGTCACCAGCATCCTTAGGTCCGACCAGCATTTCTGCTTCAGTGTGGTAGGGAAATCCCAGTGGATTAGGAAGATGAATTAAATAATGTTAACTTGTAGTGTTATCCAATGAACCTCTAAGTCAGCGGTTCTCAACCTGTGGGTCACGACCCCTTTGGGGGTTGAACAACCCTTTCACAGGGGTTGCCTAAGACATAACAGTAGCAAAATTACAGTTATGAAGTAGCAACGAAAATAATTTTATGGTTGGGGGTCACCACAACATGAGGAACTGTATTAAAGGGTCGAGTCATTAGGAAGGTTGAGAACCACTGCTAAGTCCTTGGAAACTCCAAAGGCCTAAGTCAGATATTAATTTTCACTGCCATCCCTCCCAAAGGCTAGAAGCGCCGGCAGCCAGGAACATCACCTGAAGACTCGACATGGCACCATGCTTAGAAATGCAGACGTGGAGTCAGATGGCTCCAGTCCGGACTTCAAGCCAGCAGGCACTCCTCCATCCTGGGTCTCAGCTTCCTCTCCTAAAAAAGGTGGCTGATGATAGTACCTATGTCATAGAGTCGTTGTGAAGCTAATGAAGTGCCTGAAATGTAGTAAGTACTCACTAGTACCATTGCCTTGTGGGTTTCATGAGCTCCAGCCAGCCATTCAACACGAAACTCTACACTAAAGGCCTATTAAAATGAGTAGATGTGTGCTTGAATATGCCAGTATTTAAATCATCAAACAAATATCAGTGTTATCTTCCAAAAACAGAATCTTAGGACTGAGAAGATCTAGCTAACCCAAGTCAGTGTTTCCTGATTTTTTTTTTTTTTACTGAGATTTATGGCAGCAACTACATCTTTTATCGTGACCCAATAAATACACACTAATTGTCAAAGGGGGAAAAATGTCCCTGAACTAAGAAATGGGAAAACTGTGTGTTCTGTGTCTTTGCTTGTGGCTTAAGAAAATCACTCAAGCAACCTGTTTAAATCAGAACTTGTTACTTGATGCTCTGCTTCTAATCTCTGTCTGACACCAGTGCGTGCTTCCATGTTAATTGTCAGACACGCTTGTTGATGGATGAAACCGTGTTGTTCCAATTATCAGCCACAGATGTAGTCTTAGCATTAACTTCTCAGACCATCCAGCCCAGGATGGCTATGGATATGGTATTTCCATGACCTTGTGAAATGAACTTTATATTTTGTACTTTCTTTCTCATTTGGAGCGTCGGCCTGCGGACCAGAGAGTCCTAGGTTTAGTTCCCGCCAGGGGAACGTACCAAAGGAAAAACAAAAAACAAAACTAGCTGCTTAGGTACCCATTCGGTTTCCTAGCTATGTAACCTTTCTCTTTCCATGACCTCTCAGACTGGCTATATTCTTTTATCATGTTGTTGGTTCTCTGGCCTGAAAGTTAATAAATTCTGATATATGCTGAAAAGTGACCTGGAAACATTTTCTTTTTTAACACTTCTATCATGAAACAAAAGTTTCAGAAAACATTTTCATTTACTGTATGTGATACATTCTGATATTTCTTCTTGTATTTAATTTCTTTTTTAAAAAGTACTACTGGCTCAGGAAGATGGCAGTGGGCAGGACTGGAGGGAGGGTGAGTGTGTGAGAGAGTGAGCGAGTGTGTGAGAGTGTGAGTGGACG